GCCAATGAGAACGTTCAGCCTTTGCATAAATTGGACGTTCTTATTTATACATATATGTATATCTATAAAAATGTACAGTCATCTAAAAAACTACAAGTTATGTCCCGACTGCCCAATTGAAATCACAGACACAATGCAGACTTGATGACCTCACGTTAGATAAGTTAAAATAGTATTGTAGACGAAAAACTCGCCTTTGAAATTCAGGCGACCGAATTCGGAAATAAAATTCCTACATTACAGTGGGGAAAATTATACAGTAACCAAGACTTCATAACGAACGTAATCACCTGGGTTCATGCTGCTGTTGGATTTCTTGGCCGTTTTCTCTGGACCTGCCTTTTTCCTTGTCTTCGCCATGTTAAACAGATATGTGTCTCAAATGTGTTGTCTGATAATTTCCTTACCGAGATATTATTCAAAATCTGAATAAATACAACGCACTACGCAGAACTTGATTTCATCCGCCATATTGACCACGTGCGACCTGGAAACTATAAACTAAAGTACTGTCCGGAGAGGGGTGAGTGGGAGAATTTTTGATAGCAAAAATGGCATAAAATTAATTCAGTTGTACCAACCCTTGTTTCTTAGAAAACTCTTCAAACTGACGATTGATCAACGAAAAACACTCAGTTCGCCTTTCATATCTATATTTCCTCCTTACCAGAGATTGGTGAAAAACGTTTTCGTGGCTACTCGCCAAAGTCGCTAATATTTCAAGGACTTTCCAGGGGGGCGAGAGGTAGACGTGGTGAGTAATAAAAGAAACGAAACCCGTCGGAGTCGTGGGTTCGACATGAAAAGAAGGGGAAAAGTAGCTCGTGGATGATATCTTTATGTGACAACAATCTATTTAGACCCACATGGTGCAGATACAGAACACAGTATTGCGAATTTATAAAAGACAATTCGAGTTAATTCTTTCTGTTTCACGCTCCAGTTTTCCAATGACATCAATGACGTCATATAAGTAAATAAAGTGGATGCATAGTCAAGCTTAGGCCAAACCTCGATGTGTATTTGAGGGTCAAATATTCGTACCATTTGAAGCTCCTCCTCAACAGCTTCAAGCCTTTTCTTGTACAACATTAACAAAACTGCAAGTGGAATTTTGCAACTCTAAGGTGAGCTTTATCCTTGTTTATCAATCAAGTTTGCTAATGTTGTAGCAACAGGTGAGCCATATATTCAGCTTATGAAGTTGTTTTGAGTTTGCACCCAGTGTAGTTACAATGTTATTGTCTATCAGTCGAATTTTACAAGAATCGGATATCGACATTGAGTACTTTTTCCGCTGGAAAATAATTCGCGTATATGGAGCTCAGCACGGGGACTGTGTAGTGTCCATAACAGAGATAAGCGCATTAATACCAGAAATGTGATTACGTGAGCACTTTCGCTTTCAAACGATTAAAGGGGGCAAGTTTCGGAAGAAACTGCGGTGCTGCGTTGGCGTGGAGTATAACAAGATAATTTGGTTTCATCAACTAGGTTGATAAAGTAAATGGGCTTCCCGGTAAAGAATATCTAAAGCTGCCGTAAATTTAGCCGCTCATGGTGATGGAACTTATACAATAGAAACGAACACAACTTAATTTCACT